GTTTGACTAATGGCAACCCACGCATCACAACGCACGTCTCATCTATGGAGCTTGCCCCTTAGATGTTCCCTATGTTAAGTATAATGATTCTATCCGATGCAAGTTATTTCCATTGAAAAAAAGCACTACATCTTTATAGAACTTCTTTCTAGTCACAGCACAGACGGAGACGGTATATTTTTTTTTTTTTTTTGTAATGGACTCTATGTTTTCCGAACCCGGGTCCGTTAAAACTACACCTGACTATTTGGTGGGGAGCGAGGGCTCACCCGGATGTGTTTGGGTGGTTGTTCAAACAACCAGCCCAATCACGCCCTTGGGGCGAGACTGGGCTTACGAGTTGTTCTGGGAAGAACGAATCGGACTATGTCTACCGGGTATATGCCGGTAGTTGCCAAAGAAGGGCACAAATGAGGGACCTCCGCGTCCCCGCCGGCGGGGACGGCGGTTGCTTGAAGAGCTTGTGGAGTGTATGAGTCTACTCGCGTTGGCTGCAGCGGCTGCTAGTGTGATGGGATCGTCATCATCAGAAAGGACATGCCTGGGGCGGCGTTTGAATCTCGAAGTTGGATGGGGGAAGTAATTGGATGCTTTACGGTATATTTATTTTGTAGTCCAACTTTTATAAGAATCGGCGTGCATGTAACCCGACACCTCCGCCTGGGTTGCCAGCTCGCGCCCAATAAAATAAATAACCCCCACAGGAACGATAAATAAGCACACCTCTAAACGTTAAAAACACTCATTTGTTTGAGTAATTCTCACTAGACGGATAGAGATGAGGTAGCAACAGAAAATAACAAAATATCTATACAGGGACTTTCCAATCCACGTTGTTATTATGAATGTTCAGTTCAGTACCTATTCACTTTGTAAATATGTATTTTCAGTGTATATTAGTAAATTTTCTTTCGAGTGTTTCAACATTTTTATGAACAGGTCATAATTAGAGTTTTATTACACCTTTCCATTATTATGAGGTATTTTTGTCTTAGTATTCATACATTTTAGACCTATGTTTATTGTTTTTGCAATACATCAAAAAATTCAGCTGTTTCAGCTGTGTATAGTGAAAACCTAGTGTGTCTGTTTTGTCACTTTCTTCCGTTTTTGCTTTTAATTGATAAATTGTATAATTATTTCACAGCCAATGATTTAAAGACCGTAGCAACACCCACTGCTATGTGTAATAAACTGCTATAAATATTAGCAACAGCACTAGCTAGTATCACAGAAAGTGAAAAGCCATGGCTCTTCCTAATTTCTAAAGAAACAGTTACAAATACCAGGTATTGCACTAGCTAGTATCCGTATGTCACAACAAGGGAATGGCCATTGATAACTCAAACTAAAACTCTTTAATCCTAATTTCCAAAGGAACAGTTACAAATATCAGGTACAGCACTAGCTAGTATCCGTATGTCACAGCAAGGGAAAGGGCATGGATACCTCAATCTAACACTCAGACTTACAGCGTTCGCTATAAAACATGCATCTTATTAGTACCAAACTCTTAATGGAAAGAGAATTAATTAAAATGGGTTCCGTACCATTTTATTAATAACCGTTCTTACGATTTTATACTGCACATGTAAGGTAGTTAAGTAAAAATTACATCGTGCGGTAGTCTATGTAAAAGAAAATTAAATTAAAACACCTTTTACTTTTCCTTTCAAGAAGTAAGTACACCAAAATAAAGGTATTCCTGGAAATGTATGTTTTCTTAAAACTAAACACGGGTACGGGTACGAGGCCTGCATAATTTTGCCGTTTCAAAGAAAAAAGTGCCGTTGGATTCAATCGAAAGTAGTTCTTTCTAGCAAATGTATTTATGTAAATTTTATCTGTACAATGTGCACATTCACAAAATGAAAACTCGAAAAACCAAACACAAAAAAAAACAATTTTATATGAAATTCTTGGAGTTGTTCATGAGTGTATGAGGCTAAAAGCTATAGCATACTCTCAACTCAAGTGTAAATTGCCTACATTTTACTTTGCAACAAAGTATTCTTCACGCCTCAATATAATATGGGAAAGCACGATTTTGTGTGGTTTGTTGGAAGAAAAACCGGTGTTTAACATTCTGGAACAAATTAGGGTGCATTACATGACAACTTAACTGTTGTTTAACACCTTGGTAATAGGCATGCACCTAATTTTCCTAAATCATGCCTAAAGCCCCTATAGGCTAAGTAGAAAGTCAATGGCCAAATAAAGGTAAGAGATTTTTAGGTACCTTAACCTTACTTCTTCCTAAATCGCAATAGGAAAGTAACTTTTTTATTCATGTTTTTTTTTTTGTTTTTCTTTCTTTTTCAGTATTCCCGGGCCAAAATTTAAAACGGTGTAGATGTCATCTATGTTTTTGTCATTCCGGGTCCAGCGTTGAATAATTAAAATAACTTGGCTCTCTCTATTTGACCACGGAACCCTAATCAGCCCACGTTTACATTGAAAAATCTGTTCGAACATTTCAATCCGGACTAAAAGGCTGTTAGCCAGGCGTGGTATAAAATTTGTCACCTTATAGCTCGTATCGGCTTACTGATATACGGACTCCCATACGCATATAACGACGGTTAAATGTCCGCAATCGGTTAAGATCTTGATATGGAATACTGATAAAATCTGTTTTGGGTCTTTGAAAACGTGAGAAATTCTGTATTTTGGGTAATATGTGTTCTTTAGTAATTTTAAATACCAAATTATAAGAGACGCATTTACAGCCGGATTTATAAAACTTCATCTGAGATATTCTTTTAAAACTGCCTCCCAGTTCGGTTTTCGAATGTACATTCACATTCAAAAGAGAAGAGATTTAATTTCCATGCGATTTATAATTAAAGATTTATAATTTCCATGAGATATCCTGATGATATCAAACTTTAAACGAAGGCAATTGTCTCCACTTTTGAACGCGACCGTACCTAGAAGTCCCTGGTCAGATGATATTTGTATTTATTATTCCCAGTTTTTAGTTAGGATAATGTAGAAAAGAAAATCTATGTTTCGTGAGGTACCTAAACCGGCTATGATAATAGTTCTATCATATGTAACTAAATATACACTTATTTGATGGGTGTTAAATTATCTTCTGTTGAAACATAACTCAATAAATTTTGTTTACAATATCAACTACTCCTCAAATAGACAAGCAAAATTTATTTCTATTGCCTATAATAGACTGTAGGATATCTACAATTGCCGCGATGTGCAGACAAAAGTCATTAGATTTGATGCAGATTATAAATGTACCAATATTTGAGTTTGAAATACACGAATGACTCTTCGGTCAACTGAGTTGTGTTGGATTTGAATAGCAATACCTACATTACGGCCATTGGAATAGGCCATAGTTAACAGCTGTCAAGTGTATACTAGAAGATCTATCAACAAAGAAAATTAGACTTATGTCATAGCATTAACATGATTTTAACAGCTGTCAAATATGGCCTATTCGTACTATATTTCTTGTCGTAGACTTCTTAAAAGTCCTGGTAAAGGATCACATGTCAAAAAATAACTCCTGGTATTGCCTGATAACCGAAAGAATACTGAAAACTGTGCTTTACATATTGGTATATTAAAATTATTTTAAGTTTTTAACATAGGCTAATTTTCAATTTGTATGTTACGATCTACCTGACTGAAAATATTGAGCATTAATTTTAAGCCAATTTTCTGCTTTATTGTAAAGTAAAGTAAAGTAAAAAGCATTTATTGTGACAGAAAGTAACAGAGAAGTACTTAAAAACTAATACACGCATAATTTGTGTCACAATAGGTAATGGGCTCAGCATGTGCTGGGACGGGGATGTTTTATTATTGTACCATTTTCTTTGCAAATAAATATCTGATAACTGAATTTGATTCTAAGTACAGCAAATACCCTGAAATAGAAAGTGCTGTTTTTACTGTTGACGAAATAAATATCTATGTCGGCGGTAACGTCCAAAATACAACACCGTATGTTTCCAATACTGATGGATATCGTCCACCAAAGTAATGGTTTGTCAGACCCGTCAGAGTTCTCGCTCAATTATTTTGACACGTTTACTCGCTTATGAAGTTATGACGCTGACTGTACCTAGCTATGATGGTGACTGTACTTTATTGGAAGCGATGGGTGGTAAGTACAGTCGTGATGGAATGTCAGTAGGCTATTAGGTATTTGACTGGAGTCAGTAAAAATTTACTTACATGATTTCCAATCAATTCGACGCATATGTAAAATTTTTTCAAAGGCCACATCTTTTTGCGTGCGTCTTCTGTAAAATATAAGTAATTTTTTTATGTCATATTTTTGAACTACCTACGGGACTAATGCCTGAAAACAAAGTATTAAAATTATGCCACTTAATTAATTTTTGTGGGTGACTGTACGATTGCTTTCAATATCAACTAACCACATTTGATTGATGTACTGAGAGTAATTATTTTGATTTGAAGTGTGAGAATTTTATTACTTAGGTACGAGTATGTATGGTATGAGTATAATCATATCATATTAATTTTCATTACTATTTAAATTGTTTTAAGCACGTGATATTATGTGAAACTGTATCTTGACATAAAGGGTATAACAAGCCGAAAAGAGGTCAAAGTACTCTGAACAACTTGCCCTATAAAACACGGGTCAAAATAGTAGGTAAGCGAATAAGGAAAGTTGTTCTGTTTCATGAGTACACTAACCACCTTTTGGCTCGTTATTTATACCTACCCTTTCTGTTACTCCCGGTATAAGATAAAATTAAAATCCAATATCCAACACTTTTGTGTCAAAACTAAAAAAAAAATATACAGGAACTCAAAACAACTATCCATTAGTTGTAAATCAACGTGTAACGTCTCTATCACACGTGTATCTTTGGTTTTTACTTTATTTTCATTTTCAAACTGATGGGATCATTAGAGTGGGTAACCTGATACCTCGGTAAGAAAGTTACAATACTTGGGTAAGAAATTTATTTTATTTACTACATTATTACAAGACAGCCGATGTGGTGCAGTGGTTAGTACGACTGCCTGGGACGCAGAAGGCTCCGGGTTCAATTCCCGGTGGGATCACTCACAAAGCTGGAAGTTATCACTTTGTGAATTCGTCCCCAGTCTGGTTAGGACATTGCAGGCTGAACTATCTAATTGTCCGAAAAGCAAGATGGTTCCGTGCATCGGATGGGCACGTTAAGCCGTGTCGGTCCCGGTTGCTGTCTATGACGGCGGTCGTTATACAACCATGTCAGACGCCTGCTACTTGCAGTAGGCGGTTGAAAAACTCTGACACCAGAGTTCAGCAGGTCATTGGAAGACTTGGTGTCCCACTCGAAGAAGAAGGCTACGAAGAATCAAAGATGGGCCGAACATTGGCTTCGCCGAATAAGAATATTCAGCCGAATATTTGATACTAGGTATATCTAGACAGCAACCGGGGCCGACGGCTTAACGTGCCCTGCGAAGCACAGAACCAACAATTATGTACCAATACTTATTTTATTATTAACAATTACTCGCCCGTACAATCAGTTTAGCAGTTAAATACAAACGGACAGACAAATTTATATACGGGCGCTAACGAGACGGAGGCCGTGGGATGGGCATTGAGGAAAAGGGGGTAAGTGATATTTTATGTGCTGTGCGGTGCCGACTTGAATAGCATCATCATCAAATGAATTTTTTTATAGTGTTTCCTTTATTTGTACTTCAGAATGAAGCTACTTGCTAAATTTCATTGTTCTAGGTCTACCGGAAGTACCCTCTGAATTTTGATTCCCTTGAGAGGGTAATAAACACGCGTTTTTACTGCATAAACAGCTATATCTTTTTTTAACTTAAAGCTAGGTCCTATAAGGGTTCCGTTTTTTACCTTTTGATGTACGGAACCCTACAAATGTACTTTTTCCAAGGAACATTATAGATCAAACCTTTTGAGCCGATCAACCTAATTTGATCGGCTCAAAAGTGAATCAAAAACATTCACGTACAACCTTATCCCCCAAACCGTACAAACTTTAAAACAAAAGAACAATTTGAACAAACATACAAATAAACAAACACTTGAGAATAATGCGCAGGTGTGAACGGGCATCGGCTGCTGGTGGGAGTGAGATAGTAGATATAAAAAGACGTACGAAAGAAAGAGATAGAGATAGTGTGAAAGGTTATGATTCGAATTAGATTGGTATTGTGTTGATTTGATATCATATTGTTTGGAAAAGAAATGGTTGTTTTAAAATTTTGATATTAAGCTTGAGACCCAGCATGCCGTGCCGTGTGGTGCCGGCTTAGAATAGCATCACCCCATACCTTTCCCGTGGGTGTCGTAAGAAGCGACTAAGGGATTTAAGCGTTAATGTGTATTGCAATTTTAGGCGACAGGCTGACAACCTGTCTCTATGCTGATACACAGTCTTCTGAATGACTCTTATTTTAGCTTACTCTCTTCTAACTTTTGTCAGTCTGTAAGGCTTGTATCCTGGTCTTTATTAATTATAAAGATTCGGGACAGCGACATCTATTGGTATCGCCGCTGTGGGATGTGATTCAATACTTGTGGGTTTGGTTCTGTTCTGTCAAGCTTGGTATGGAGGTTCGGAATGCGGCTGAGAGATGGCGCTATGTGCGTGAAGCAATATTGAAATGTTTTGTTTATTTTCTTTTTATATTGTTCATATTTGCAAGTCTAAATAATTTTGGATAATTAGTCTGATAGTTGATCAGCGTTTGCAGTGGCATTTATAATTTTTCGTGGCATTTATAATGATAGGGGTGTGTGACTGAAGTGAGGTTGGGTGCGCGAGGTGGTGTAATCTGCTGCCATCTATTGTCGAGTAGCGGAAACTGCAAGGTGTCACTTTAGACAGGGCCCTACTAGGCCATAGCGACTGAAATACCTAAGGTTTATTCTATTAGTCACACTTTCGGTTTATAGAAAATTGATGTATTTTCTAAAATTCTATAAACCAACAATAAATGTTTAATAATATTGGTAAACCCATGATTTACTCAATATACACTAAAAGTTTTCTTGGATGTCAGGATGGGTCGTGGCCCCTTCCTGAATTGGTGTCTGGCAACAAGTAGCGAAACAAGACATTCTAAAAAAATCTAGAATAGTCGAATGTCTTCTAAAATGTGTATGAAAGAGAGGAGAATATCTTCTTTCGTAATGAGTAGCAGATTTCGAGAACATTATTCTTCTCGTAAGTTCGAAGCTTTTGGTATAAAATAGCAAGCCATACGGCCTGCGGGGAGTTCAGTTCAGTTCTAATCGTGAAGTCTCCCAGGACAGAAAAGGAATACCTAGTGCAGTGATTAGTTTACCTATCAGTCCTGGTGAAGTCGCGCCGTGGACCAGAGAGTCTCGACGTTTGCCTGGTCACCCTCGATTCGCGAGTGTGTTTAGTTGGTGAAAAGTGCTTTGAACCCGTGTATGGTGTGTTGTTGGATACAGAGGATGCGTGCTTCAGCGTGCACTGGAATCGGCATTGTGGATGTCGTCGTTGTTGGTTCTTCGTGTGCTGGTGGCTTCAAGTTCCAGATGGATAAGTACAATTCATGCTTTCTTTCGAACCCTATCAGCAGTATATATTCCCTATATGAATGTTTACAAACATATTAATTACCTATGCTTGATAGTTCTGTATTCATTGAAAGCTGATAAGATTCGGAATATGGTCTTATGCTTTGGTTTTTAGTGCTAAGGTCATTTTATTGCAATAACTTTGTTTTGTTGTCGTTTTAAAGAATCTGCGTTCTGATTGTTTCATATAAACTTTATAGTATCCACATCTAATCTTTAATTAGGGAAATTTGGGCTATTTAGTGTGTCGGTAGATAGGTAAATTAGATGTTAGGAATAGGTAGGATACCCTATAATCCCATTACTCCTATTCCTTACTTGTCTATCTATCATGCCATATATATGACTTTAATAACCAAATTAATAACATAATTTATTATTGCTATGCGCTACTAGCATAAAGTTCCTGTGTTAAAACTTACATAAGTAGATATGGTTAGGTATCTACTTATCTATTAATTGCTGTGGTCATCAGTGGATAAATTACTATTCTATAATTGCTGAGCGATCAAGGATTTATTTGATAAAATTCCTGTGGTTAAAACATACTTACATATTGTATCTACTTACCTACTGTTTGGCTTGGCCCATCAGTGGACAGATTTCTATTTTAAGTACTATGGTTGCTGAGCGACTATGGACTTAATTGATTAATGTTTATGAAATATACATAAATAGATATTGTTAAATATCTACTAATTTATTGGTTATGTCCTATGTCCGGCAGTGGACGAACATTTATTTATAACAATATTTTGTTATACAAACAAAATGTACTTCAGAATGGGAATGTGTCCAGCCGTGGACAACACTTACCACAATAATATTTTATGGTACTTGCTATAATATCTTAGTTAGTACTCTTATCTAAGAATATGTATGGCTGGTAGAATGGATAATATCCTTTCCTATCATCCTATCCTATAACAGATTCAGATGAATCATATCTAAAGTAATATTCTAGTCATGAAGTTCTTAAAGTTCTTCTTATGACTGGCTAAAATGGTGCCCATCATAGTGAAACTATGACTACAACTTACCTACTAACTACAATGGTTGTCATCAAATGTCATGGGACAACTGTTATCATATCTTCATCGAATACCTATCTATTTCTTATCTAGCATTCGATATGGTTGTAATGGCAGCTTTTGGTCATGGAAGCCCATATGCTCTCAGGAAGTTCATGTGATCAACATATCCTATCTACTCTCTATTGGGATGGGCAAAATATTGCTCTCCCGTCTACAACTGATAGGAATGTATGCTCACATGTGATTTGGGACTTGCATAAAGCATTCTCATATTATATTCTGACTTCCGTAGGAGTTAAATGTGGGTGGAGACTGACTGACCAGTGCAATTTCATATTCGGTGCATTTACCGGCCTTGCCGGTACCTCTTTAGGGAAACCTAAAGATAATTGTTGAAATCATGTCATTTGACTGATAACATACCTACTTACAACATACTTACTTACTTAACCAACTAGACACTTGGGTGTCAGTTTGGTCTGTCATAAATAAGAATGTTTATTCTAAACTACTTCAGTTGTTCTGCAAAGGACGTCTGAATCTGATCACCTATCCTTCTTCGTGGTGCTTTTAAGCATCACAAGCGTCTGTGGCTGACGCATCTATTAGCAGAGACGCACGTCTCACCATATTTTTATCCTTCTTCTGGGGGAATCAGGTAATTTACCATTTGTATTTGGTAAATACTCTAAGAGTTATCTTTACATACATAAATTGGTTATGTGAAGATGACTGCGGAGTGTTTATGAATACTAATAGGTATAGTTGGCGTGGGATTCCACAATCCTCGGGCGATGCGGTTCTGGGGGCCCGTTTGGAGTTCAGTTTCCTGCCCTTTTCCATCTCCTGTTCATCAGAGTCACTTTATTTCAATAATTAGTACAGAGATGTCTCAATTACCTTTAAAAGAACTTATGGGTTACATATTACTTTATTTAAACACAACGTATGGGTCAATAATTAACTAGACATCACTTTTATATCACGAGCCATTATATACACTGTGCTTGAGGTAAGTATGGGTTTCTATGAAATTTAGAACTCAAGACATGATCTTCATAACAACAGAGGCCGGTGCCTTTAGGCGGAGTCCTTCATAGGCCCGGGGTCGGGTTTGTTACAAGTCGTGGTGAAAATGACCGTTTTACACCCTTTTACGCTCTACCTACCCCGCAAGGAATACACGCGGGATATTATGTATGTACAATTTATTCTAATTTCTGACTGTTTTTTGTGATTTTCATTTTTTTTGCAATAAAGTAGTTATATTTTATCTTTACCTTCATGTTTAGTAGGTATATTGAATATTGAGTCTTCAAAATCGAACCGGCACTCTCTGAAACGAAAGCTAAAAGATCTACCACTTACACATTGCAGGCTTTCACTCCCTACCTACTATCTGATCCTTTAGAATTGTTTATTACTTATTATTTTCAGTTTGTCTGTCTGTCTGT